CGACTGCATGGACAAGGAAAGTGTTAGGCATCTTCTTGCGCCCTCGTGCATTCCTCCTTCGGCGACCCTAACAGAAGTACCTGGACCGGTGCTGGCATAGCCTACTATGGGGAGGGGTCCTGGCCAGGCCTGTGCCCCGTGGGACTTGAGGGCCATAATTACAGCATTTCTGTCACCTCCACCCTGTGCCCCACGATTTATTCTGCATATTCATTAGTGGTGCCTGCCCAGGCATTTGCGCCTAATTATTACACCATGAAGGCAGTGCCAGGAACATGAACAGACGGGCCACCTGTTTCCTGGCAGGTGGCCCTGTTGGTGCACCTGTCCAACGGCCACCCCGGCCCATGCCGAGAATGCTTGGTGGCACTTTCTTTTTTGGCTCAGAAACGTTTTAGAACCATCAGATAGATGAGTTGTTTTCCCTGGCAGGGTTTTCGCTCCCCTGTGGGGCTGGTTCCTGGTGCTTGTCCTGGGAGGGGGTCTGGAGAAGGGGAAGAGGCGGGGTTGTGTTGGAAATCCCTCCTTTACCACCTGGAAGCTGTGTGATGCTGGAGTCATCAGTTTTGCTCTCTGAACATTAGCGCCTCAAATTCGTTGCAGAGCAACAATGAGGCAGTGATTCTACTCAACTAGCGCAGTTGAATAGAATCTAGCAAAATTTCTGGCTCAGCACTAGCCGTTTTACGCTCCCCGCATGATGTCACCTTTGATAAGGTAAGGCTTGATGCCCATAGAGCCTAGTTATGTAGTAGTTGCCCAATAAAGGCTGTTTCTCTTTCGGCCACACATGCCCAGCCCTTACCAGTTTGCAGGACTCTGTCACCTCTGTTGTCTCCAAAGAGCAGCCTAATGATTGTCTGAGTTTTTAATCATCATCTTCATTTTACCAATGGGGAAACTGAGGCCCAGAGTGGGAAGTGACCGCACAGAGACCACCAGGCCTTTTTGACCTAGAGCTCGCCGCTACCCCAGAGAAAGGAACATCGACCAGCTGTTTTGCAAATGTTTAACCCTGGCAGAGGAAGGCAGCTCCACCTTAAAAAAAGCTAGTGGGAATGCAGACTGGTGCAGCCACTGTGGAGAACAGTATGGAGTTTCCTCAAAAAACTACAAATGGAACTCCCATTCGACCTAGGAATCCCACTTCTAGGAATATATCCCAAGAAGCTAGAAACACCAATCAGAAAGGGTATATGCACCCCTATGTTCATAGCAGCACAATTCACCATAGCTAAGATTTGGAAACAGCCTAAGTGCCCATCAGTAAATGAGTGGATTAAAAAACAGTGGTACATCTACACAATGGAATATTATGCAGCGGTAAAAAAGGAGTTCTACCATTTGCAACAGCATGGATGGAACTGGAGAGCATTATGCTAAGTGAAATAAGCCAGTCAGAGAAAGATAAATATCACATGATCTCACTCATTTATGGAATATAATGAACAACATAAACTGATGAACAAAAACAGATCCAGAGACAGAGAAGCATCGATCAGACCATCAAACCTCAGAGGGAAGGTAGGGGAGGGTGGGGGTAAGGGGGA